GGTGGTCATGGTATGGTGATGATCATGGTGGTCATGGTGATAATGGTGGTCATGGTATGGTGATGATCATGGTGTTCATGGTATGGTGATGATCATGGTGATGATGGTGGTCATGGTGATGATGGTGGTCATGGTGATGATGGTGGTCATGGTGATCATGGTGATCATGGTGGTCATGGTGATCATGGTGGTAATGGTGATGATGGTGGTCATGGTGATAATGGTGGTCATGGTGATGATAATGATAGTGGTGATGATGATGGTGGTGACAGTGGTGGTGGTGATGAACAGTTATACTTTTACCTGAAGTTTCTGCTGAATATCCATCCAACAATTTAAAATTGATTGGTGATGCTTTCGCGACTGCTGCCATGTGTGCATAAATTGGCAAACTTTCGATAACAAACGACACTTCAGCTTTCTGATTGGCTGCAAGGTTTTTGGCATGCCCTAGCATTCCAAACCCAGTGACATCAGTGGCTGCATGAGCGTGAAACTTATGCATCAGTTTGGCAGCAGTTTTGTTCAACCTTGCCATACCAAACATTGCTTCCTGGTACGCTTTCTTTACATCACTTTCACTGACAATATCTTTGATTTTCTCCCAATATTTTGGCTGAAAGTGAACATATATTGGTGGATCTCTTCAGAAATGACGATACTCATAGAAGCAACAAAACACCTCTCTACAATGTCATACCTGTTCAAGCCATTGATGAGCATTCACAGCAATCTGTGTTCCAAGTGGTTTTGTCAAAACAAGAACATCACCTTCCACAGCATTCTCTGGCCTAAAGTATAAAAGTTACTTCAGGGGGAAGGGCACATCAGGGCTCATCACCAGTATTGTTCAAGGATAAAATTGTCTGACATAGATTATGTGCTGTATTGTTTGTGCCGTTCACAATTAAAGATGAACATTTTTTGTAGATAAAAACATTGTCAACTTTTAATGTAGAACTTCAATATTTGTGACAAACATTTAAATTAGGTGTGTCAATCAGGCCCACCAGGGGGGGGGGCATGTTGCCCCGGGTTCTGCACAACCTCTCGGCGGCGCTGGAGTCGATCAGCATTTTTATCTACAACTCTTCATCCTTAGATGCAAATGACAGTATGTGATCATAAAATAGGAGTGAGCGTACTAAAATATCCGAAGACGCCCTTACATGATAAACTCGTTAGACGACACAACCGATGTTGCAACCCCACCAATAATGTACCACGGATTAAGCACACTCTGCCCGCCATTCACAGATGTCCCAGCCTCCTTTGCGAGATCATTAAAGCCCTTGATCATCAATGACGTCACCACCTCTCGCTCTTTTGCGGACATATCAGTACTGACTCCTAGTAACATCAGCATATTATCACAGTCACTGACTCCCATCGCATATAAATCACTCAAAACGTTTGCGCAGGCAATCTTTCCCTGTAGGTAAGGATCGTCGACTAACGGATAAAAGAAATCGGTAGTTTGCACAAGACTTAGACCTTTATGTCGCGTCGGAAGTACGCACGAATCCAACCCTATGCCAATTTGTCCTTCGCCGTTCTCGACTCCTAGTCCGCTCAGGAACTTGCGAAGTTGTTCCTGAGGGACTTTACATCCTCATCCTTTTAGTTTTGTGAAATTTGTTAAGCGAAAGGTTGGGGAAAGGTCATAATTTTCGGGTTTAAATACGATTTCAGCCCCTTTCCCGTCCGCCATTTTAGTTCTCTTCCAATCTTCTTCTTTACGGACACTCACGACGTTTCCCGACTATATAATTAGCTCAGTTACCATGACAATAACTGAAAAAACAAAATGGCGTCAACAACAGGAGTTGAATTTTAACATTTGTTTATTTTTTTTGCAAAAAATTATGTTTGTGCCGCATAATGTCTTAAAATAAAGATCGAGAACTGTAGCTTAAGACTTCCTCTATAATGGCGCACAGGTATGATTGGCCATTTCTTATTTCAATGGTGAAAAATATGATGGTTTTTGAATGCTGTTCTGAGCAATGTTCTTAGTTTCAGTTCTTGTTTTTTGCTTAGCACGTACAATAAACAGTGGAGAGAAGCAAATAATGCTTTGTTGGATTTGTTGGAATTTGAAATTCCCAAGGAAGAGCGGAAGCACGAGAAGGTTTGTCAAATATATTTTAAACATTAGAATTATTTTTTACTTTGTATACTGCAAGTTTAGTTAACTTTATGATAGAATATAATTACCTGTACCCATATTACCTCCGCCTTTCAGCATTTATATCTAGCTTTATCACCCACCCTCCCAATCCTTTATTTTTATTACCACTATCCACTCATTTCTCTATTTTCTTCCACATTCTCCTTGTTCTCCCACCCCACCTATCCTTTGCCCCCACCTCCCATTTACCCCACCTCCCATTTACCCCACCTCCCCTTTGCCCCCACCTTCTCTTTACCCCACCTCCCCTTTGCCCCCACCTTCCCTTTGCCCCACCTCTCCTTTGCCCCACCTCTCCTTTGCCCCATACCCACTTCTCTTGTACATTCACCTATTTCTCCACCTACCCCACTCCCTTCTACAAGAAATATCCCCCCACCCCTCTTACCATTTTTTCTTTCACCTCCAACCTTCCACACTCCCTACCTATATCCCATCAATTTCTACCTCCCACTCCACTTTTTCCCTTCTGCACCTTCACATTCCATTTTCCCTTTACACATTTCCTCTCCCCATCCTGAAAGTACCCCCCACCTTTTTCATCCTTTTCCACCCAACCTACTCTCCACTTCCACACCTCTTCCTTCCCACATCCCCTTGCTATCACACCTTCAAGACTGATTTTCCCCTCCTCCCACATTCTCCCTCTTCTCATGCCCTTCCACCTCCATCTCCATTCAACCTCTCTTACCCACACTCCCTGCCACATCTCTCACTCCCTCTCCACAAGAGGGACAGTTATGAACAAGTTTAGCCACAATACACTCCAGAGTCCAGACTGCAAGCCTACCCTTTGCTTCAATTTTCAGATCCAGAATAACATTGAAGCATTCCAGTTACTTGCCGTCACATACGTGAAGTACATTCAGATATTTAGAAGACTAGAAGAATGCTATGACCAGGTATATGAGTATATCATCATCATTGCAATCTTTTCTTATTTATCTCGCATACTTTGTGCCAATAAACAATAAGCTTACACTGTGATACTTTATTATCACTTTGTATAGATTGTTCATCCGCAGAAAAGACGCGTTATTCGACACGTTCTTGATGGCACTATTGGAAGGTAGTCTCTTTACCAACTTCTCCTTGGGAATCTAATTTTAATTTTCCTTCCGTAACCGAGTCTCTAACGCTAAACAAACGAACAAATGCTTCCTAACTTGCCCAGGTCTTTATTGATTATTTAGAATTTTTTTGCCATGAAGCTGTAATCATGATTGCTTTCATTCTAGAATCCTGGAGCTGAAGAACGACATGGTCTTGCTGGAGCACTCAGAATATCATTATTTCGATGACGTTCTTTCCGATCTCAAACTCACACCGGTACCGCTGATATTGTTAATCTGAATTTGATAACATATTCTATCGAGTTTTACATCCGTAATGATTATCTGTTTCAGAATGACATCGAGATACCGGTTCCAAAGTACTTCATATTTGAAAACGCCAAAGCTTTGAAGGAGAAAGAGAAACTGATGGGCAGCATTCTTGCCAGGAAAGGACCCGTCGATACTGAAGTTGTAAGAATAATAAGAGGAAATGAATATTTACGAACGAACGTGTATTATAAAGGCCTGTTTACATGCAATTTCTTCTGTGTTTTTAGCGCGATTTTCCTCTTATGCATGTGAACGAGTACCAGAAAAAGGAATTGCACTAGAAATCGCAGCCTTAAGAAGTTCTGAACATTGTTTAGGATAGTACGTTGATGATATCAATCTCGTTTTTAAGGAAAAAGAAGAAATTCCCATGTCAATGGACGAGGCAATCCGAATTATTCAGGTGACTTGACAGAAGGATTTCATTGGAAATTCTTAGTTTTAAATTTTGTTTTTGTTGCCGGAGTAATGTTCAATTATGCTTTCTGTTTTTTTCAGGTTCATGAACGGGCAAGGCAAGGTCGACTGAGAGCAAAATTTATGCGTGAAATAAGGTAGAGAGAATGCATTGTTTCATTGAAGAATTTTTTTAGTTTAAAACTTCATTCTGATTGCACACATGCAGTGATTAGTGCATGTGTCGTTAGAAGAGTGCTTTCAGTTTGGGCGACCAAATTCCGCAATTATTTTCCTGTTGTTACACTGGAGTCTGGGCCAATTAGAGAAACCACTTCCTGGACACCTCTAGAGCAGGCCTCGAATTTCCCTGAAATCAATCGACGGCAATGCCGTTAAAAATTGCTAAATTGCCGTAGAACGTAACAGCTGTCTACGGCAATCCTGACAGTTTCCACGGCATTTTTCAAATTACTGTAATAAAACTTTAATTTTATTGTTACTTTGGATTTATGACAAGCTAGAAACATGTCTACGTATTTCTTTAGTTGTTTTTTTTTAAGAAAACTGAGACTAAAATAGTGATTTACGCATGATTTGATCAACATCTGAATTCAAGTATCAAAATAGTAATGCACAGTGAATAGTATAAAAATTGCACATATACGGCAAAAAATTGCCGTCGTTGCCGCAATGATCCACGGCATTTTGTTCT